AACGTAATAATTAATCACATACGTTAAAATTTCCTCGTATTTCTGTGTATAAGACCTCAACTAACTTTAAGATAAGCAACAGCATTAAAATAAACCCAACATGGAATCGAAATTGCACAGACTCTACTTTAACTGAATAACAGAAACTCACCAGGCTTGAAGTTGCATTCGGCTAGGATATGATGAGGTCATAATAGTTATACCATCAAGAAGTTAGGCTGTAATCGAGTTAGGTAAGGTTAGGTGGATAATCAGGTTGAGTTAGGTTAGGTTACATTGTTAGGTTTAAATAGGATATAGTTAGGGTTTAGGTTAGTTAGGTCTGATTAACTTAGGTTGAATGAAATTAACAAAGGTGCGACATAGCTTAAATTTGCAGATGATGATGATAATAATAATAATAATATATTTAAATTTTCTTTTACATACAACATACAAAGGAAGGTGCCACTATAACATGCGGTCTACAAGATACATAGGTTAGGTTACGTTAAATCAGGTTACGTAAGGTTAGGTTAGGATAGACTAAAGATATCTTAGTAAACCGTACGCTACAGTGGCACCCAAAGGAACATCAGAGGCGGTACATATTCTGATGATAGATAGCTATAACTTTTAATACAACCAAGAATTTAACGTGGCTTTGGAAATACGACACTCATCCCAGATACTATCTCTATATGGTGATGGAAGTATGGTAACTCCCTCTTCCTTTAAAAATACTGACTCCGCCCTTGTCACCCTTAACTACAGCCCTTCAAAATATATAAGTGTTACTTGTGATTATATGACTGACCTTTCTGGTTGGCTGAATGGACATCGTTACTACCTGGAGATGGGAAAGTCAGTCACGAGAATCTCAACCCAGGATCAGCCGATGAGTTGCCAGACACCACCTGTTAGTAGTGGTTCATTGGTCACACAAAAATGATACTTTCAAACTTAAATAACATGTAATAACAGCTACAAATAACATGTAATAACAGCTACAAATAACATGTAATAACAGCTACAAATAACAGTGCTGTATACGAGTAGAGATAATATACTGTACCAAAATAAATAAAAATAACACGAGTATCAACAAGAGACAAAATCAATCACAAAATAAGAGTTTAAAATTTTGTGATGAATGATTATTATAAGCATCAATTTGTATACTATAGGTTTTCCATTTGAATACTGATGACTGTTATTCTTCAACGCTTCATTCTTAATACTCAAAAAACAAAGAAAATCCCTACCAAAATAATCCATCTCAAAATTGAATTCCGTTAGTTAAATTATTTACCAAATCCAAGGGAAGGGGGAGCGGCGGAGACAGGTTAAATTTATGTTACCAAAACTAATATTCTTCCTATTTGTTGGTTAAGCTTTCCGCCCAAAAAAATAATTCTATTTGTTTAGTAAGTCTATACCCTAACTAAAATTAACTTAATGATTTGTGATTAGTTTTTTTTGGGTTCAGTTAGGATATGACTGAGGAGAGTCGTGATCCATGTAGTCATAAATTAATTTTGTCTTCAGCTCCATGACGTGTTGACAAGACCGCCATTCCCCCTATATCCGTGAGTTAGTACAATGGTGTATTTGATTCATCATTTCCGTTCGCAGGAATCAACTAAATGCATTGAGATTATACTGGTAAGACTGCTGTTGTTTCATATTTTATTTATAGAGGCACTACACTACAGCATTACCTCGTATAGCTGTAATATTAGACGGAATAATTGATTTCGTCTCGCTACCTCATTAACTTAAGCACATGGCAACTGCTACACAAATTCCGTTTTCACATACAATGCACATCCATAATCTATTAAAAAGTGCTTCAAACTTACAGATATGTAGCTTTATCCTGTGTAGAATTATTCTTTTGGTAAGGTGGATAATAAAAATGGTGACACTCCAGTGGTCACCCGTCAGCTGACCCTCCACTAGTCAAATGAACATCTGACAAACCTGATGTACTGTAATTCTCATTTGTCATAATTAAAAAAGTCAACCTTAAACTTCTAGTAATTTATTTATGTACAACAAAATTCTTATAAATAGTCTTTAGGTTCTTTCTTTAAATTCAAATAACAATTAAAATCTTAGAAGCCACACCAAGCTTCACATCCGCCAGGCGTCGTCTCAAGCCTGGGCGTTCCCATAATTCAATCACTCATTAAGAACCTCCCTATCTCACTAAACATCCTTCTCTTCCCACCATCAGGGTCATCAAGGCCTCAACCACCCCCAGGACCAGTAGGGAACCAGTCCTGATCGTCATTTAACTACCCGCGGCCCTGGTTAACGAGCCCCTGCCCTCGCACACACACGGTGATTAACCCAGTCCATCCAGGCACAGATTGTTAGTTTTGTGATTGTGCTTCTGACAGATCACCGCACGACTCACCATGCCTGTGCTTCTGTGTAGGTGAATGGATGTATGTGGGTTAGTCTGTGTGTGCGTGTGTATTGATGGGAGTTTATGAGTGGTTGTGTGGGGGAGTGAGTGTGTGGGTGTGTGCGTTGATGGGAGTGTGTACTAGTGGCAGTGTGTGGGGGTGAGTCGCAGTGAATGTGTTTGTAGGTGCGTGGATGTGTGGGTGGATTTTGTGTGTGTGTGTTGGTGAATGAATACGTGCGCGTGTGTGTGTATGTGTAGGAGAGTGGATGTTTATGTAGATGAGTAGATTGCGTGGTTGAATGGATGTATATATATTGGGAAGTATGTGTGTAGTAGTAGTATTTTGCTCATATTATACATTTACATAGGATAAATCTGATTTTTAACATATCCTTTGGCGATCCAGAAATTTTGGATATTATACTTTCCCAAAAACTGTTAAGCTTATTATGACTGTGAAACTGGAGTGAAACAGCAGCAAGAAACAATATAATTTTAAATTTTAACGGATCCATGAGCTGACATAGATGTAACGGAAAAAACGTAATGGTGAGGTTAAAGAAGGCGAGGCCAGGACTCGTGCAAGCGTTGAAACACGACTATTCGTTTGACTTTTTTCCCCAAGACGCACAGCAACATGCGTCATGCCTGGGTCAGTTTCAACAGAATTACTCAGCTGAACCAAACAGCTGTTTTCATTGTCAAGACAAATATTAGCATTGAAATTATACAATAGAGTGTTTGTTCAGTATGAATCAGTTGCAAGAGTCGTTACACTTTCTAAGACAAAAATCCCTCGGGCTGTTCAAGATGGCCAAGGCCAAACAAAACGTCTGTCAAGCAGCATCTCCTTGACGTTTTATTCAACTTATTTCTTTTTCTTCAACTACAGGATATTTCTAGTTATTATAAATCCTAATATATCTCATTTACTATTATTTAAGCTAAAAAAATACTATTATCCACATAAGAAGCTTGTGACTATGACGTGTAAAAAATATAGCATGTTGCCTGGTGAAGCAACTGGTTGGTACAGGTGCATCGCCTCGGGCATATGGCAACACCTCTAATTTCAAATCTTAATTTTCCACAAGTGGCTCCATACTACCTCACGAACCCAATCCTCCAATACGTTTCAATCATTACGTTACGTAAATAATATTATTCAACCTCTGTTACACTTCACTCATTAGATAAATAAATTGTCTTTCACCGTCTCTCGCCTGGCCTAAACGAACACAAAATGGCCCCACCATTATCAAAACACTTTACACATGCAAGCAAAGAAGTTTGGATTATTTTATATCAGTATAACAGATACATATATGAATGATAAGTTTCCCTACAGTAATACAAGTTGTCCAGTCATGTAATGGTTCTTTTTTTTTAGTTTTATTATTATTCAGGAGTTAGCGGGTTACCCCTTACTCAAGACAAGATATTAGTCCACTGGTACTGCATAGTTATGTATAAAACTATCTTACAAAGTTGCACAACTACATGTAATATGCTACAGTACCGAGATCACTCTCAAATACTCTACCACCAAAATAGTGTATACTGTAAAACGCATACAAATATGTTCGTGCTCTAAGACAGGCACATACTATTCCAGAATATCCAAAAATGATTTAGAATACAGTACACGCATACAAGCTCCAATATATTATGTATGCCAAAGTACACACACCAGACCAGAGAAAATAACACGCCTACACATATTGTACAATGCCTAATCTCATACTGCAACACTCAATACACACTACATAAGTTACACATACAATCTTAAGTACTCAAAGAACAAATAAAACTCATTCTCATATATATGATAAATTTATTAATGCAATTTTTTCCGTAGAGTAAAAATGTACAGTGAGAGACCTCAGTGTTGGCAACAGTGTCTCTGGAAAATGAAATGACAAATGTAAACAAATAACAGTATACATATATCTTATCCGTTTGTCCTCTGGCATATAATTTTTTTTAATGTATCAATGGAGTCAAACATGTTACAGTAAAAGATGAACAGAAAGATTATATGCACTACATTTTTATATAATTGACATCCATTGTTATTTTAGGTTTGTCAGTTAAATTTACAAAATGTTGCATCCAATATTTTTTTTTTACAATTTAGTTCTAATGCAGTATCAGTTACATACTACAGTGCTTATATCCAGAAACATTTCTCTAGCTTTAAAATCAAGACTTTCCACATTTTGTTTTGTATTAGGCATTTTTTTTTTTAGCTTTGATGTGGTCCATAACCAAAATAAAATACAGACATTTCTATCATTTGACAAATCTACCTTGTACCCATAAAATGTATATTGTAAAATTACTTGGTAAATAATTTTGTGAAAAAGAAAGTACTGTATCTGTTTTACTTGAATCAATATTTTTCACCATTTCACTGTAATAACATTTCATCAACTCTGTACCACACACTGATTACCGAGAGACAGAACTTTTGTACAGACTGCAGTTTGTGCATAAGAAAGAAAATAAGGAGAAAAAGAGAGAGAGAGAAGGACAAGGCTGGACTAGATGCCAAATATTGCATGAGTCACGCTTGTGTCCTAGGCTAGACCAGCACCCATGACCCCCCCCCCCCACCCTCCCTCCCCCCTGGTCTGCTAGGCTACAGTAGTATCTTACACTAATACTCTACATTAACACTTCTCCCCCCTCACCCTAAAGAACATATAGTTGTACAAGTATAACATGAGATCATGGATTTCAGGTGTAATTGTTCTTCCCATTATGAAGTCACGAGGGAATGATTGTGAGTTTTGTGAGTTCGTAAAAAAATATATAAATAAAATAAATAATAAAATGAAATGGAAAACTAGTAAAATAAAGATAAAAGCAGGAATTAGACTTACTGAGAACTGTCTCAGTAACTACTATGAGTATTGATTCAACTTTAAATGGATGACTACTAATGAAACTTTATGTTAAGAAACTAAAGGACACATCACATGCTTCACAATGAACAGAGTCAATCACGATCCTTGTATCAGTAATAAAGACCACATCTGAACCACTGATGGCCATTAAGTCTGTCATCAAATTGTACAGTGATAACTAACTATCTGTACACATATATTTTACATACCAGCTATTTCAGTGATCCTGATTTGGAATTTATCACCAATAAAAAAAAAATATATATATATATAGAAGATTCTCATAATTAGAATCTTTTATTGTCTACACTGGGAATTAACATCAATATAAGGTTAAATAGGTTATATTTTCAACTTAAGATCTAAGTGTGACCATTGAATGTTAAGTATTCCTCCCCTGTTCAAACTTATGTATCACTCTATACTAAAACAGTACCATGAGACTTTACCAACAGTCAACTGGAACTCTACAAGGAATATCCACTTGTCCACATTCTAACCTAAATGGGTGTTTTGAATTCCAACAGAAGTTATAAATAATTCTAGTGAAAGGTTTAGGCAAGATGCACAACTCATTATGATCACACAAGTTTAACAAATAAACTTTTGATGTTACATTAAAAACTAGACCTTAAAAATACAAATAAATATAAGATGACTAGCCTACTTTTGCTCACTGTGGTAAACATTGCACATTATCTAAGATCATATGTGTTGTGTAGTAAACTCAAATTGGTGTCAATCTCTTTATATCAAATTCACCATTTCCTGCACAAACACAGCAGGATGTCCCAAGCAGAATGTTCCCCCACAAATAATTCAATACATTTGTATTTACACATAAAGACAATGTTTGAAATATTTATGGGAGAATTCTGCATGGTTGTAAAATAATATCACTGTTTTAAAGATGTTGAGAGATTAATGTATTAGAACTATTACCCAGAGAGCAATGAAAGACATTTAATTAATTATAAAATAATAAATGGCAACAGAACATTTAAAAAAAGATGTACTTATGTCTGTCCACCATATCAGATCAGCATAGACCTGATATGTCGACTGTATATAATAACATTCTATTATTATCTTCAAATGTCATCAACTTTCTGTGTCCATAAGGCTCTCCTTTCTAAACAATGCCAGTACAGTACTAAATATACTGTACTGTACTTGAAGTTGCTAAGGTCTCGTCAGTTAAAAAATAAAAATCCATAAAAATCATAGAAAGTATATGACACTTCAAGACTTTACTGATGACAACAAGTGTGCAGAGTCTAATGCTTCATCATTTTTACCTGAATTTATAAAAGATTTTCAACTGTATAACACTTTAATCTCAGCATGAATTCTGTGATGGTTAAATCCTCACAAATAACATCCCCTCACAGTAATAACAACAACAATAGTTTACGACTGCCAAACCTTTCAGGCCGTGACATTTTAACTTTACGAGGATGAACTTTCTCCCATTTGGCACATTCGGGAAAATTTGAATTCTAGTGATTGTGAACAAATGTTCAATAAAAACTTCCTCAGTGATACTGAACAGAAATTTTTCAGCAAGACTCTACACAAAAGGAATAAACACAGAGCTAAACTTCAGCAAAAACTAGCCTCTGAGAGCTAACCCAAACAAACATTAACCTTTGCAAAGACTAGCCTTCATAAAGGTTAACTTAAATCAGGAGTCTTAGCAGACTAGCCTTAATAAAGACTATCCTAAGAAAAAGACTACTGTACTGTACTATATAATCATAGCCTACTGAAGGCCTAATCTAATAACTGAACACAATATATTAAATATCATTTATAAATATCTCCTGAACCATTTACGACTCTGGTTGCTGAGCTTCTCAATATTTTCACAATAGTCTTGTGCCAACACTTAACAACTGCTCCCTTACACTGTAGGTACTCTGATATTTACCAGGACTCAAGAATTCTGACAATTCACAGCGAAAAGTCTGTACAAATATATCAACATATTTAATAACGTGTCTCACTAGTTTAACAGACTCTTACGGCACAATAAGTCTGACATTTTGTTAAAAATTTGCACTAAAATTATTACATATATCTTAGGAAAACATACGTCAACAGTCGAAGAGAAGTTACTGAAAGTTTCTCACTTGCAGTCTGATGTTTACATAAGAATTCTAAAACATTCCATATTATTCATTTAGACAATCGACTGATATAAGTCCCACCTTCATATAAGAAATGACTTTTTTTAACAGCCATTCTAGAGGACCTGAATTTGGTCAAGATCTTCAGACAGCTGTGAAGAAACTTAGCAACATCTCGAAGATATATCCAGATGCTTCAGATGACTGAGTTCCATACTGTTCCTGAAGAGACCTTCCCAACAGTCTGAAAGATAATCAGACATCCTTGGAGGACACTCTTAAGGAATCAAAGGGGGGCTCTTCAAGACCCACAAATAATATCTCTTGAGAACTCAAAAGAAGTCCATCCAAAAACTATTTTTCGGTTTCCAGAAGTACATCGAAGCTTCATCAGACCTTTGCCATTCAAGCAAAAGATCTACTGCATTCCCCCACTAAAACCTTTTCAGCCGGTCAAAGGGCTCTTGAAAGAGCCCTAAAGAACTTGGAACTCTTAAGTCATCCATTGTCCCACAAAAGCAATCAAAAGAGCTTTTAATATCATATAAATGCCTAAAAACTCTTTGATATTCCAGGAAGGCCCTCACAAACAGCCTTAAAACATCCTGTTATCATCTTGGTCCAGACAGGTGGTGAAGACCATTACTTGGAGGGCTTGGTGGGTGACAGGGCCAACTTCTTCCTGGGTGTGGTTACCTCACTCTCACCCTCCTCACACTTGGAGCAGGAGTGTAGCCGCTTCCTCTGTCGCCCATAGTCTGCAAGAAAAAGATCCGAGTTAACAGTGAAATCAAAAGAGCTAAAACTAAGGTTAAGTAAAAAAAATAATAATATATAAATTCTATTATGGTAAAATTTATTAAAAAGGCGAATGTATTTCATTATAGCTTCAAATTATGACGAAAACTGAAGCACTAAGACTAAATTGGGGTTCTTCTGAGGTAATAATCAAGAAAGGTGTTCCAACTATGGCTAAATAAGACTTATGATTACGACTAAAACACCTAATTTGGACTCTATCATCCATATAAAGACTAAAAAATAAAATATACGAGCTTAAAGCAGAAATGAAGGCTTGCAAAAAGACTAAACTGACATAATAATACTGTACTAAAGATAATACGATAATTCAGAGTAGCCAAGACTTAAGACTTACGTGACAATACATTCCTTGTGAGACTTGAATGGCTAAGCTAATCAAATGACTGACACAGTAACAAGAGACGATTAATCTTATGAGAGAGAGAGAGAGAGAGAGAGAGAGAGATCACACCACTGAAATATGAAATAGTTACAACCACGACCTTTCCCATCTCACCTCTCTCCCTTCCTCTCCCTCTCACCTCTCTTCCTGCCACCGAGACGACGCCGACCCCCAGGGGGATGGAACAGACGGCCAGGTGCACTGATTGTCGGCAGGTAAGAAGAAGGGGGGGGGGGTGAACTTTGCCACAGTCACGACCCTCCCCTCCCCCAACCACCCGCTCAACTCCTCCCACGGCCCTGCCTTCTCGTACCACCCCATCCCTCCCCCGATCTAACTCTATCCCACCCCCTTGTCTTACTATTTCTACCTCTCCTCCCCCCCACTCTAACTACCCCCTTCTCATCCTCTCTACTCCCACCCCTCTTTCCTCACTCCTTTCCCCACCCAATTTTTATCAGTTTCTTCCTCACCTCCTCCCCCCCTCTCCTAACTCTTCCTTCCCTACTACGTCCTCCTCCAAATCTCTCCCCTCCCCCAGCCCCCCCAGGTAACCCCGGGGCATCACGTTCAACCCCACAGTTCCGTGAGATAATAGGTAGTGGCGGGGAATAGGGACGAGTGAGGATGCTGTAGGCAGTAGAGAGGAGAAGGAAGGAAGGAAGGAGGAAAGAAGGAGGGAGGAAGGAAGAAGGGAGGGAGCGAAGGAGGGAAGGGAGGAGAAGGAAGAAGAAAAGAAGGAGGAGGAAGGAAGGAGGAAAGAAGGGAGGGAGGGAAGGAGGAAAGAAGGGAGGGAAGGAAGGAGGGAGGGAGGGAGGGAAGGAAGAAGGAAGGGAGGGAAGGAAGGGAGGGAAGGAAGGAAGGAGGAAAGGAGGGAGGGAGAGAGGGAAGAAAGAAGGAAAGGAGGGAGGAAAGGAAGAGAAAGGGAAGAAAGAATAGAAAATGTAAACTGAAGAATCGAAGAAAGGAAGGTAGAAAAGAATGAAAGTAGAAATGAAAAAGGAAGAAGGGAGGAAGTAATAAAACGCGAAATAATAAATATGTGAAGAGAGAAGATAAACTATAGATAAGGAAAATGAAAGGAAACGTTAACAAAAATCAAGTGGGAGAAAATAAATAAGAAAACAAACAAAGAAATAATAAACGGGAGAAATCTAAACGATTTGACACAAAAGAAGAAAAAGATGAATAACGAGAGAGAGAGAGAGAGAGAGAGAGAGCACAAGAAGATAAACAAGAAAGGGAAAAGACAAACAAATAAAGATAAGAAATAGGAAAAAAATACAAAACTAGATCGAAAATTGAGAAGAATGAGAAGCAACACCAAAGAGACAGAGAGAGAGAGAGACGAAGATAAACAGAGAAGTGATAAAAGACAAAGACAGTAAGGCACATCTACCAAGGAAGGCCCCGAGGGGAGGAGGAGGAGGAGGAGGGGGGAGAAGAGAGGTGATGAGTGGAATTACGTGGAAGGGGAGAGTGTGGGGGTACAAGAGCAGGTAAAAAAAAATAATAATTGTGAGAACTTTGTAGAGCCACAGTAATGCACTCCCAGTCTGCCCCCTCTTACTAGATGTTCCTGTCTGTCTCTCTGTCTGTGTCTGTCTATCTCTTTCCTTTATTCACACTGTTTGTCTGTCTCTCTGTCTGTCATCTCTTTCCTTTATTCACTGTCTGTCTGTCTACTGTCTCTTCTCCTTTATTCACACTGTTTGTCTGTCTCTCTGTCTGTCATCTCTTTCCTTTATTCACTGTCTGTCTGTCTCTCTGTCTGTCTGTCATCTCTTTCCTTTGTTCACTGTCTGTCTGTCTCTCTGTCTGTCTGTCATCTCTTTCCTTTATTCACACTGTTTGTCTGTCTCTCTGTCATCTCTTTACTTTATTCACTGTCTATGTCTACTTTATTGTCTGTCTGCGTCTGTCTGTCTTGTCCTTATATTCACACTGTCTCTTTGTCTGCTTTATGACTGGTTTTTTTCCCTCCCAAATAATTCGTCTACTATAAACATCTGTCTGTTCTCATTATTCTATGTCTGTCTGCCCCCTGTCTGTTCACTGTCATATAATAACCTCGTGGAAAAACAACTCAAAATATTTACAGGTCGCGACAGAACTATATTTTTTTTTTCCACTGCAATTTTGCCACCATGTTTACAGAGTCATTTCAAGGGCATTTTTTCTTCCATTTTTTATTTGTATATTTAATTTTTTATCCCAATTTGGACTTAATTCTATCATGTTCGTTGTGTTTAGTTGAAAGGTTATATGTAGATGATGATAATAATAATAATAATAATAATGGAATAATAATAAATCCCTCTCTCTCTCCTGTTCCTCTCACCTCTTTCTCTTCTCAGTTACTAATACCTCTTCTTCTAGTCCTCTTTACTTGTTCTTTATTATCCTCTCCGTTATTTCATTTTCTCACCCTCTCTTATTCTCTCATTCCATATGTTTTCTTATTTTTAACACTTCTCTCGTGTGTGTGTGTGTGTGTGTGTGTGTGTCGCCCCCATACTCCGGGGTTAGCAATGATGTGAACACGGTAGGTTAGCTTGGAGCAGCCCCGAGGGTAAAGGGTTATGGGGTCAGGCTACGGGGCATGTCTAGGGGGGGGTGGATGTGGGGGGCCTGGGGAAAGGGATGTGGGATTGAACTTTCGGGGGAAGGAGGGAGGTGGAAGTGGGGGTGAGGTTAACCTGAGGGTGGAAAGGGGATAGAGTCAATCCTGAGGAAGGGGAGTGGGGATCAAGTCCTAAGGGGAAGAGGGGAGTGGAGTCAATCCTGAGGGGGAGAGAGGTGTCAGTCTGAGGGGAGGGTGGGGTTCTATCTAAGAGGAGGGGGGGTGAGGGGGCCAATATATATAAATTATATACAAATTGCGTCATAGATCTTAGTTTAAGTGTGTGACGTGTTAAGTCATGTTTATGTATGTAATGTAATAAGGTTCTGTATCCTTATTCTTTATTAACCGTTTGAGACGGGGTTAAATGATCGTACTCAACGAGTTTAAATAAATCGTACTCAAAGGGGTTAAATTATCGTACTCAAGGGGTTAAATGATCATTACTCAACGGGGGTTAAATCATCGTATTCAACGGGGGTTAAATGATCGTACTCAACGGGGGTTAAATGATCGTATTCATGGGGTTAAATGATCATTATAACGGGGTTAAATGATCGTATTCAGCAGGGGTTAAATGATCATTACTTTCAAGCAGGGGGTTAAATGATCGTACTCAAAGGGGTTAAATGATCGTACTCAAAGGGGGTTAAATGATCGTACTCAAAGGGGTTAAATGATCGTACTCAAAGGGGGTTAAATGATCGTACTCAAAGGGGTTAAATTATAGTAAGGGGGTTAAATGATCATCAAGGGGTTAAGTATAGTACTCAACGGGGTTAAATCATCGTACTAAGGGTTAAACCATCGTACTCAAGGAGGCTAAATTATAGTATACTCAAAAAGTTTAACTACACCTCCAAAGTAAGGTTAAATACTGCCTCTACTTGACATCACTCATGCCAGGCTCCAAGTGAAGTCCTTACAGCAATGGGCTGATGACGTCATGCTCGACCAAAAGCTCTCGCGGCTACGTCAAAGACCTGGGAAATTGAAGGCGATATTGAGGTCGTTGATTACCTGGACTGAATCGTCAACGTCCCTACACCGTAATGTTACTGTAATTCAGAAGTGATTAACAATACGATACCAAAAGGAACACCGAGAAGATTAACCACCACAGCTTATTTCACCTGAAGATTAACCACCACAGCTTATTTCACCTGAAGATTAACCACCCCAGCTTATTTCACCTGAAGATTAACCACCACAGCTTATTTCACCTGAAGATTAACCACCACAGTTTATTTCACCTGAAGATTAACCACCCTAACAATTTGGAGATAATGTTAGGTATGGTTGAATAAGCTTTAGGTTAGGTATGGTCGAGTAAGCTTTGGGTTAGGTTGAGTAAGCTTTAGGTTAGGTTGAGTTAGGTTGTCAGGTTAGATTAGCGTTGTTAATCATTAGGTTAAGTTAGGTTAGGAGAGGGGGGTGGGGGGTTAAGTCAGGTGAAATAAACTGGGGTGGAGATTCTTCAGGTGATCCAAACTTTTTTTTATTCCCACCGTAAATTTACCATCATATTTACTGAGTCACTTTACGTCAGGTTTCATCAACGTTTCTGCACCGACTGACACACGTAATTGAGGACATGTGTTATATACCAAGAAAAATTTACACACACATACATACATATATACATTCATTCATACATATATATACATACATATATACATTCATTCATACATATATATACATACATATATACATTCATTCATACATATATATATACATTCATTCATACATACATACATCACTTAACACTCACTCATTCATTATTTTAACGCATATATGACAAGATAATGAACACTTGGGCTTGAATCATCTCTCTCCCTCCTGTATTCCGTCTCTAATTCTGTTCCTCGAAAATTCTCTACCTTCCCCTCTCCTCTTTATTCTGCCTCTCCCCCTTCCCTCCTTTCTTCTGT